TGAATCCTTCTATCTTGTCTTTATTCTTTATTTAAATTAAAAAAAAATTGTTAAAAATGGTTAATAAATGTAGCTTTCGGTTGGTAGTAGAGAACTAATTCTAGTTGTCTTTATTCTAATAGTTGATATGTTGTTTGAAATGATTAGTTTATATGATTGTTTGAATTAACTGTTTAAATGTAATTGATATTTAATAGTTGAAATTTAATAATTAATAATTATTGTTATTTATAATTTAAAATATCTAATTTATTTGATTAAAATCAATACTAATAATTATTTGTAAATTCTCAAACCAAACAACTCTGAAAATATCTTTCCAAACGCCCTAAGCAGCTGTCTAGGAAAAAATATTTGTAAGCTACCTTTATCTCCTAAACCAATTAGAGCCATGGCAAGATTGGTTCACACCTAATTTTGGAGGGTACGTACTCTCTCTCTCTCTCTCTCTCTCTCTCTCTCTCTCTCTCTCTCTCTTAAATGTTTTGGCAATAGGTGGATTCATTTTGCGTTTATATTTTTAATTTGATAAAAATTAAAATATAAGCTAGACTTCTTTCAACTGCTATATTCTATTCATTTAGTATTAATTTATATTTAAGAAAAAAATTTTGAGTTAAAGAAATTAAAAATTGAGAAAACACTCCTTTTTTGAAAGAGAATAGAGAATGAAACAGCTGAAAAAGTGTTTACGCATTAGCATGATCCTACACATTCTGACATCTTTTTTCCGCACATTCCAATCTCATCAAATTTTGAAAACTGATTAAGAGAATTTTTTTATATAACTTTTTCATAAAAATTAGCGCTTCATTTTTATATGGTTTTATTTTATTTTATTTTATTTTAAGCATAGGTAATTTTGTAGTGGAGGGAAAACCACAAGCAACGACTCAACAAGGAGGTTGTTAGCCTAATCTAATAATTAAAATTTAGAGTCTATTTGGTTTGATTAGAGGGTAGCAGAAAAATGTTTACTCATTTGGATAAAATAAACGGGCAGGAGATTTCCCGTTTAAGTTTTGCATAATCTCCCTAATGCATTCAGTCTCCCGTCCAAGCAAACAAACTTTAATCTAAGCGCACCAACCTCTTGGCTTGGGCCATGACCTAACAGGCTACAAGAGCTGCACCAAGCTTATGGTACTGTGTAAATAGAAGGAAACCATCGTAATAAAAAATGGGTCCAATTGTAAATACAAAGAGGAAAAGATTGTAAGATATACCTCATTTCATAACAAAAATGGAGCAAATATAAGAAGAAACAAAAACAAGTAACATATCAATTCTGAATCAAAAAATTTGCCAGAATGGAGATAACATTGCAAACTTCATAACCCCAATTGTCCTAACAAGATCTCTAATTGCGGATTTCACACTAAATTTTAACAGTGATTGTTATTTATAGTCAAACAGCCCAGTGACGTTGACAGCTATATTTGCATACCCATACAGTGTATATATGATAATGGTTTCTAATTAAAGGACAAAGCTAAAAAAGGCTGAGGAGACTGAAGCTAGATTATAAGCAAGAAGGAGGTCTTTGTTGGCCGTAAGAGAGGCCATTGACAAAAGAACACTGCGACTTTGCTGGTCCTCCTGATCCCTGGAAATTCAAGTTGATGTCCTTCAACACGACGTTTTCGCATGGCAATGCACTGCTGCAACTCAAAGACACTGCAACTTCTGTACTTGAGGTGCCCCAGATGTTTTTATATAACACATCCTTTACTTGAACATGGGATGGACTCTGCAACCAAAACAAAAATTGAAACAAAGCATCATTAACGAATCTTGATCCAATGGTAAATGACAGAATTTCTGAGACTTGCAGAGTCAAGGCTCCAATAAATAAAAGGCATACTGTTTTCTTTAGTGGAATCTTAGCAGTGCTTATGTTTGTTTTATGCTAATCTGTTTGCACGTGAATTATATGAATTTATTTGTTTAATACTATTAGTTAGTTATTGTAAGATTTTATTATAAAAAAACATTATGTGGGAATCAATTTTAAAATTAAAAATATGAGAGATATTAAGATTTTATTTGAAGAAGCTTTATCAATACTTTAACTTTTGGTTTTTATGGTTTTTTTATTATTTTAAAAATATATAAAATATTAATCAAAATAAATATTAAATATATTTAAAAAAATGTATATTAACCTATATACTCATTAAAAAAATCTAAAAATCTAAAATATTCTGATTTTTAAAGCAAAAATGAGGTTAGTTTAATATTTTCTCATGGTATTTATTAAAATAATATATTTTTAAAATATTTTTTTCAATTAAATTTTTTTAATATAGGTCGATACTCATTATTTTTAAATATATTAAATATATTTTTAAATGTTAAAAAATCAAGAACTAACAACTCCAGTTATAGCTTAGCAATCCTAACTAATGCATACAACACAAGCTTAAATAGAAAAAATAAACATTACCTGCTTATTGCAAGGAGGATACGGGCAATACATCTGATCAATAATGATCGGATTCTCAACATCCTTCATGAAAATGTCTTGAAAAATGAAACCAGAAGCAACGGAGCTATAAGGAGATTCCCATGTTTTGATTCTGATCCCATTAGTAGAATTGCTAACGGTGCAGTTCTGTACTGTGAAGCCGGTCACATTCTCCTCTTTCTGCGACCTGCCGAGGCTGCCTACGCTGAATCCATGGCCAGGAGCACAGGTCACGTTAGAAACTAGAATGTCTTTGCTGCCAGGGAGTACGGCAACGCAGTCGTCGCCAGTGCCTATGATGGAATTGGTGATTCTGATGGCGGTGGAGCTCCCTATCTTGATTCCGTCGGTGTTGGGGCTGTTGTAGGGGGCTGATAATCTGATGTTGCTGATGTTGACGTTGTCGCAGCCGAATAAGACGATGTGACTGTTTTTGCTGTTGATGGATCTAATGTGATGAACTCTTGAATAGGAGATGAATTCGAGTCGTAATGTCTGAAATCACAGCATTAGAAATATGATTTACTATTTGTTTTCTATATTAAACAAGATTTTAAATTCGGAAAAGAAAGAATTTTTTTTTACCCAGTATAATTTGGGGTAGGGAATGGGGAATTTCAACATGATGGAATCTTACTTATTTTTAAGTTATTAAGTATACTTAAAGACTGAACTATTTAAATGCACATAAAATGTCAAAAAGAAAGATTAGTATGTCATGACATTTAGAATTAAAATTAAAACATTCAATTATTAACAACTATGATGCTGAAAAAGAGTCTAGAAAAGCCAATGATTAAAATAATTTAATAGTAATTTTTTTTGTTAAAAATAAGAAAATTTAAATTTAAATTATATAACATATAGATAAAATGAGATAAGAAATAAAAAAAATTATTTTTTATTGTACAATTTAAAATTTTATAAAAAAAAGAGTCCCAAAGAAAATACCAGCATACACAACACATGACTCATAGAGTAAAATAATAATAATAATAATAATAATAATAATAATTTTTCTAATTCTTTTAATCTATACCATTCACTTTAAAGAAGATTTTTCTTAAAAAATGAGAAAGCTTTTTTTAATCTTTGCCTTAAGAGTTAATAGTATGTATTTAGTGTACTTTTTAGTAATTAAATTTATTAAAAATAAAAAAAAATTAATTTTATCTAATGTCCAATAAAATTAATCCACTTAATATTGGCAATAAATTCACCCATAATTTATGCCTTCAAAGACCCAAATTCAAATAATCAAAATGAAAACAATTCCAAATTAATATCTTCTTTTTTTAGTATGGTAAATAATTAATATATAGTATTCATTTAATTCAAGAAAGGAAATACTAAATGTCAAAATTAAATCAATACCAAATTAATATTTTTTTAATATAGTAAATCATTACTAGTATTTATTTTATTCAAGAAAAAGAGATACCATGAGATGGAAAGGGAACAATCTGTGTTTAAAATAGAAATCATAATTAATTTAGAATAAATTTAAAACAAAAAATATAGCAATTTCAGGACAAAGAGAGTAAAACTTACCGTCGGAATGGCTGGGCAATTAGCGTTCTTGTGGCAATCGTTGAGCTGCCAAGCATACTCTCCTTGGCCATCGAGAGCACCGGTAGCGCCGCCTCTCATCACCAACTTGTCAATGTACCGGAAAGTTATCCAAGAATCACTGTGGCCGGACCAAGAAGGAGCCCTTAACACCCCTTTCAATTGAAACTCAAGCCGCCCAAAGCAAGGGCCAATGAAATTCACGCTCCCCAGCATGTATATCCCAGCCGCAACATAAAACCTTGCTTTCCCTTTAAACCGGCATGCATCCTCCCATGCCCTCAAAAATGCCTTAAAAAACACATTAAAAAAATTTAAACATTTTATATATGTAAAATGATCAATAGTCTTTTAATTTAACACATCTTCTAACATTTATCAATTTAATTATTAAAATATATAATTTAAATTTTTTTTATTTTTAATTTAAATTAATTTAAATTTAAAAAAAAATATTTTTTAATAAATATATTATAAAATATGTTAAATAAAAAAATACATCAATTAATGTGCTTTATATATATCGGATTCAAATATGGGATTTAATTCATGTCGAATCCCAATATGTACTAACTACTGAACTAATACCTCATCGACATTTAGAATTTAGAACTGTCTAGTCGGAACAAACAGAAAGACAAAAAGAACATATGTTTCACCTGAGTATTGTCTTGCCGACCGTCTCCCACGGCGCCATATTTTCGTACATCAAAAATACTGAACTTTTGTTGAGCTGCAGTAAAGGATGAAAAGAAGAAGGCAAAAATGAAAACTCGAGACACCATTGAAGCTGAGAGAGCCATTTCTGTTCTTCTCTTACTCTTTTTTTTCGCTGCTCTTATTTATAATGTAGATATAAGGGTTGGGTAGGAATTGATTTTTTTATAAAAATGGCTAGTTTTTAGTATGATTGGATTTTCTTTCTTGTTTTGTACGTATGATTTGGAATTCTTTCGTTTATATACTATTTTCAATAATTTCTTCCGATATAGTATTGTTGAAAATCTTTCCTTATATATACCAAAAAAATATTGTTGAAAATCTGAAACAATTGATCTTGAAGGCATTAATATATTCCGAAAAGAGAAATTAAGCATTTGGACCAATAAATTAGTGTCTAACTTAGATGATTTGTTCCACGTTTATGAAAATGATTCCCGCAAACATCTGATTTGTTGCCTTTTTAATTTCAGCCAAGATTGGGATTATTTGTTGTTGCTTTTTTTTTTTTTTTTTATTGTGAAAGACTTGTGATAATAAAAATTTATTGTAAATTTTACAATATGTATATATTATCAAATGAGTAGAAACATATTGATTCATGTGTCAAATACAAATTAGAAGAAGCAATAAAAATTGCTTCCCATTATGTTGTAAGATTAGACTGTGAATGAATATTTTTTTTATTATTATGGAAGTGAATGATTATTGTTAACAAATTTTTTCCTTTTAAGCCAAGTTGCATGTGCGGTGGTGGTGCAATGCTAAGGTGCAGAACTTTTTTGCGAAATCGGGGCACCAGCCGTGGGCAGTGGATACTGGATAGTATGGTGCTGTAAATGAGTTCATATGTGAGGCGTATGAGCTAAAAAAAATGAGAGATCATTACATAATAAAAGGTATATATAGTAGAAACAGAGTTTCCTTTTTTTTTTTTTCTTTAAGAAAAAAGAAAAAAAGTTCAAAATATACACTTGTTTGCTTTAAAATTCTCTCTTCTCAACCACAGCATGACAGAAGTTATTTAGGCATATTACTTATTTTGCTTAAAACAAGAAAGAAGAATTTTTGACAACCCTCACTTCTTCTATGCATAGGAACTTGTTTAAAAATTAATGGAAGAACGCCATTTGAATGATTGTGATTGAGCCAATAATATTTTGATCAAATGATTATAGTAGAAATATAAGTGCATTTTTGCATAAAAGTTTATACATAATTGCCCTAAAAGAACATCAAGGACTTCTCATATTTAGGACCACAATGAAGTTAGTTTGTTAAGTAAAATAAGTAGAAAAGAAGAAGAAG